ACTCACACTCACACACACACACACACACACACACACTCACACACACACACACACACACACACATTTCATATATTTATAAATAATAAAAAAAATCACACATTCACATCACACTTCTGTGAATGCAATGCAACATGTTCACTTACAGTTTTTTTTTTTCAACTGCTTACACACCAAATCTTTACTTGTCACACAATTTCAAACAGCAGAAGCACACAGCAAATCTGCAAAACCATACACTAATTCTCAGCCTTTGACTCAGTTTTCAATTTCATAAAATAGGGCTGGACAATAATTCAATATCAATATGTATCGCGATATAATTTTTTTCAATAACGGTGATTTCTATTTCAGATAAATAGTGGTCATATCGATATCGGAATTATATCGTATCGACCGAAATTAAGAAATATATCGTGATATCAATTTTGGCCATATCGTCCAGCCCTATCATAAAACAGTTTTTGCAAAACACAACACACAATTATCTATGTAACACAAAAATCTATCAGGAATTAATATTATGACAAAGGTGTTTGCAAATGTTTTCTTTTGAGATGTGTTTGTTTCATTTTGCGAGAGATGTGAGGCATTTTGTGTGCAATTCTTGGATTTGTGTGTAAAGTTTTGAAAAAAAGAGGCAAAGTTTTGAAAATGTTTGTAAGCAGTTGAAAAAAAAAACAGTAAGACATTCAAACATTCAGCATCATTCAAAACATTAATTAGTAAATCATAAACATTATATCAAGATTATATTATATTATATTGCTTATATTTTATTACATATTACATTATATTATGTTTATAATAAGCATAACACCATTAATATGCATAACTACTCATCAGTTAAACATCATTAGTGTTAATTACTTCAGGTTGGAAGCTTTTATAATGTGTTATTATGGTTTATTAATGTTTATCAGTATACACAAACAATGGCATAAAAATTTAATTATAAATTCTCAGTATTTCAATATTCAGTGTTTTTGCTGAAGCTGCATAAACTGCTGATCAGTTAAACATCATGAATCATGACTGTGACAAATGAAAGTTTTTATATACTATAATGAATTATAATGATTTATTAACGAGTGTGAATATGATGAACACACAATCGCAGAAAACATATATTATGAATAGTTTGTGAATATTTCTGCAGTGAAGCTGAAACAAATAATTGATGCTATATTGTTTATCATGTTTCCGAGTGATTTCACATGAGAATAACTCGATGTGTGCCTCCTCCTCATCCTCAGTGACGAAGATCGTGTCCCATCTGCTGGTAGCGGAGCCGGAGAAGATCTACGCCATGCCGGACCCCAGCATGCCCGAGAGCGACGTCAAAGCGCTGACCACACTGTGTGACCTGGCTGACCGCGAGCTGGTGGTCATCATCGGCTGGGCCAAACACATCCCAGGTCAGTGAGGCAGGCCGCAGTGCAGAAAGCATAAGATTATTATTTACTAACAAATAAAAAGGAGCCATGAAGTTAGGTGGTACAACTGGTAAAGCTGGACACTTCAGCTTCATGATTTCTACTGTTATTTTATAATATTTCATAATAAAAATCCAACTTATAGTTCATCCTCAACTATGTTGATTAATAATGATGAAAAAAAAAAATGTTAGTTATGACATCATTCGTATTAGTGTTTTTCTTTTTTGTTTTTTTGCATGTGTGAAATCATCTCGTTCTGTGGCAGTTAAAATCAGACACATTAAAGAAAGAAAGGGAAAGTAACTGTTGTGTACACATGCTGACTCAGTGCCGTCCATCTGTGTTGTGTTTTTAGGGAAGATGCTAATCATTAGCTGGGTGAAGTGCTATCTAGTAAGCAGATTAGGAGGATGTTGACCCCCTTAATCACACACACACACACACACACACACACACACACACACACAGTGCTGTGTCAGCACAGAGAGCCTTTTAGCAAGGAGCTTACAGCCGACTGGATCACTGCTGACCCAAAAACACAGTCTCCTCAAAGTACTCCTCAACACACGCACGCACACGCACACACACACACACACACACACACACATTGGTATATGTGGTTTACAGGGACTCTTCATAGACGTAATGGTTTTTCTACTGTACAATAAAGCAATAAGCCCCGTGAAGCCGTGGTTTACAGTGAATTTATAACAGCTAAGGGGTGTTGTTAGGCACAACGCTCAGCCAATCAGAATCAAGGACTGGAACTATCCGTTTTATAAACTGTATTTTCTGTCCCCTTACCCTAACCCTACACCTAAACCTACCCCTCACACAAAACTACAGCATTTTTAGATTTTCAAAACACTACATTCTATGTGATTTATAAGCTTGTCTCCTCATGGGGACCAAAAAAATGTCCCCACAAGTGCAAAAATTACTGGTATTACTATACTTGTGGGGACATTTGATCCTCATAACATCATAATATAGGGGATACCAGTACACACACACACACACGGTGCATTTTTGTTTTGTTTGAGTTTTATTTGTTTGTTTTTGTTTTGCTTTGCTATTATTTTTTATTTGTTTTGCTTTCTGTTTTTTTGTTTGTTTTTGTTTTGTTTTGATTATTATTATTATTATTATTTATTTATTTACTTTGCTTTGTCAGTGATGTGTATCTTCAGAAATACTTTGTTTTGTTTTTGCTTTTTGTTTAGTTTTTCATTTAGTTTTAATTGATTTATTATTTACTTGATTATTTATTTATATTAATTTGGTTTATTTATTTTTATTTTTATTTTTGCTTTGCTTCGTCAGCGATGTGTATTAATGCACATTGTTATTACTGGCAATCTGTTTAATTTTTGACTAAATTAATACAGTTGATTGTGCACATATTCATTGCATTTAAATTAAGCAATTCAGTAAACGCACTAAAGAGCATTAAATTTTTATTTTTCAAACATTACCAGTTTATTACAAAATGGAGACCAGTTGATCATAGGTAACACTTTATATCTTTTTTATTTCACTTACCCTGTTCAACTGTGACTTGAGAAGGCAAGTTATGACAGAGCGTTTGCTGTGATTCTTTACTACATAGACCACACTCAAATCAAAACTGACCCTGTTCGTTTATTTATTAAGACTGCATGGTATCAAAATGTTACAGCATTTCGCATAGACTGGAATCTGTACCTTAAGATGACTCACTTAAGTCAAGAGACCGTTCACAGCCCATTTTACTGTTGTAAGGTGATCTAATTATAAGTGAAGGAGGCAAACGTAGGATTTTATCCATCAAGTGTCTTTCAGATGAGATTTCCACTAATATCATTAGTGTGCACGCGTTACACACTGGTCTTCTGTACTCACGGGTCCACGTTCACACCTGTCCAAAGCGCAATCGTATTTATATGTCACAGTAAAGCCTTTTATAGTGCATGTTAGGACACAGCGCTCAGACTCCCATCTCATCTGTCAGTAAACGGCTGTAAACAGCCTCCTGGTATGGTCAGGCCCTATCGAATCGGCCGTTGATTAATTGTTAATGAATCCCTCCTCTGAATGTCCGGGCTCCGGTTGGCACTGCAGAGAGAGGAGGTCTCTGTAAATAGTTTAAGTGGCATCTCATTAAAGCTGATGTGTGTAACATGTTGACAAATGGCTTTTTGTTCAACTTGGAACCTTTTGCAAAATCTGCGTGGGGAAAGTTTTCAACCTCATGCAAATTTCCTGTGCGGATTTATATGGAAATTAATGGATTTTGAACACGAAAATTTGCAAAATGTGACCACACCTTGTGGCTGCATAATGTTTTTCAGTCCCAAAATGCAGAATTCATGAATCAGTCAATAGCGAAAAGTGTTAAAAAAAAAATCTAATTGAAAATGTTAAAAATTCCCAATGCAGATTTCTATGTGAGCTGTGCTTCATACATCACTACACTATTGAAAATTGACCTTTTATGCCCATGAAATTTCCCTGAAGTCATGTTTATTTTGTGCTGAAGCTGGTATTAATGTGAAGGAGACGATCAGTTCACGTGCGCCTCGCGCTGCTGCGTCTGTTGATCGAGGCGCTCCAGCGAACTGTCACTCCACATTAAACAGCGCCAAAACGACATTTATTGTTTGAATACTGAAATACAATGGACATAAATTGAAACCTGGGACTTTGTTTCATATTAAAAGCACCAAGGCACAATGCTTATTGCGATTTATTGGATGGGAAGTCTCCTTCAACGTTCCGTCCATTAACTGAAAACAGACTAGACTAATCGATTCTTTGGATTTAAGAATCGATAACGTTCCGTAAAAAAGAGAATTGATTAATATCGAGATATTTATATTTTTTACCCAGCCGTAGTATGCATGGCTTCTTTTCTGATGTAGTAAACTTGCTTGTTAACTCACCTAATACAGCGATACACAGTTTGGCTAATGTTCTGGCAAGGTTCTCTCAAAGTTATGAACAAACGTTCTTCAAGTAACATTAATATAACATTTGTTGACAGTTAACTGTTTTTTTAATAGTGTTCTCAAAATGTTAGCACAAAAACCTTATTTATATATTTGTGGAATGTTTTTTACTGAAACAGTTTAATTGGACATTTCTCTGACATTTTTTAAATGTAATTACTTGTTTCAGAATGCTCAGAGAACATTCAAAAGTGAGGTTTCCATAATGTTTGCAAAATTATAAAATGGAATGTTCTTTTAATGGAATGTTCGTTCACACCAAGAACGATAACTATAAAGATAACGACATTAGCGTCCACACTAGCGGACGATGTCGTCTGTTTATTCTATGCGCACGCTCGTCTGCCGCTTTAAATTCTCGAGCTTGTGACAGCAGGATTGAATCTGATTGGATGTCAATGTTTTTATCGTTCATCAGCTGGAAAAAATCGTTCTGAAAGCGATTCCAACAATATTGTTTCTCTGTGCCTTTATCGTTATAGCTGTGGTGTGGACTCTGCTATTCTTTAATATTGGGAAAGATTTTTAGAACTATATATTTATCGTTATCTTTATAGTTATCGTCATTGGTATGAACAGGCCTTAACGCATAAAAAGAGAAAAATTTTTTTTAAAACATTCAAAAATAATGTTTTCATAACTTAATTGGAATGTAGGCTAAAGGTTCTTAGAAAAGGGTCGCTTCAGCAAATGTTTTTATCTCTCGTTTGCTTTTCTTAATACTATCAGAATTAGGTGGTACGTTATTTTCAAACATTATTGATCGTTAATCTTCTAGTGGCAGATTGACATTTGTCTGTCTCGGATAAAACTCGGATAAAACTGAATGCACTTTTAGCATCACTCTGAAAGTGTTGTGAAACATGCAAGAAGCAACGTAATATCATTTTGCGGAAAAGTCTCCACAGGCACGTTTTTCCAATTAGCCTATGTTGGTAATGAAATGTATTTGTGTATTTAACCAGACAAAATATGTATTACAGGTGGGTTGAAAAATAAAAGCGTGGTGAAGAAAGACATTCAGAGGTGGGGCAAGTTTAGTTGTTTCGAAATAAGATTTTGCATAACATCACTGATGAATCATTTACAATAAGATTATGAGTTATGAAATCTATTTTAACTTCAAGTTTGCTGTATGTTGTAATACCTTTTCTGCTTCTGAATAAGCAGATCTTTGAAATTATTAAGATGTGATATGATATATATTTTGGACGTTTAACCTAATAAGACTGTAGAAGTGTTTCTCTGGCTGATATGACAGTGGTCTTGCAGTTAGAGATCAGGAATGACATAAACACTCTGACTGTACGGTGCAATCCATTGCACAGCTGTTATTTGATTGTGCTCTTTGTCGTCGTTGGCGTGAGATGAGGTGAGACAGACGCATGAGCTCAATGCTGAAATTATTTATGGAGCAGCGTAATTTATGAGCAGACATGTATTGATTGGGTCCCAGCTGATGATGTCATGCCAAATGTAGAGGAATCAGACAAACACACACACATTTGTTTTCATCACAATGGAGACTGTCCACAAACTTCTGCTGCTTTTATAGTGAGTTCAGGATCTTTTCTGTACTCTGACCTTCACACAAACCTTTTTTACAGGTTCGTTAAGATATTATTTATTTATTAAGCCAATGTCAGTTCATATACATTTATATTTCAATGCATTTTAAAGACTGTTTTTCTCCACTTCAGCAGCACTTACATACACCAGACTTGACAGTTTTATTCCTATCTATATTCTGAGTGTTTTACTGAGGGGTTTGTTCATGCATCATTCACACTGATTTATAGTTGATTAATCAACTGTAGAAGTATGGTGATATATATTAGTTAAAATTGTATTCTATTCACCTTTGATATCTTTCCTTTATTAAAACAAACAAGACGAAATAGCAGACAGAATGCAGCTCCTGTCAAAAGTGAAGGCATATGATAGAAAGTGTGCAGTGATTTTCCATCTGAAATCCCAGTAAAGACTGACACATTAATAAAGTACAAACTGTCCACGCATGCGGATCTTTATCTGTAATTCAAGTTTATGTACTTTGATTTCAAAAGCATATCAGTTTCATGTCTACACGTGCGTGTGGGTGTAAATGTTCTCCCGTGAGAATAAGGTGCTCTAATCACCTTACATTCACAGATGTCCTTCTTATCCATCACATATAGTTTGGCACAATGCAAATGTCTTACGGATGATGTATTGTTATTTTCAGTGTCATGTAGAGTTTCATTGGAGAGAGGATGTTGATTGACAGTGAAACTCACACAAACTCCACCAACAAACCATCAGGAGGAGGAGACCAGAGCCATAAACTGACAGGGATAAATCTTCAAATATAAGCTTGTTAATACAGGCAGATTAAAACTTGTCGTTTTTTATGGCTATTTTGTTTATAAAAGGCTGCCAGAGTCATAAAAAGCCTTTTTGCGAAGGTTTCGGCTTTTGTCTATTTTCAGAATTGCTGGCTTTGAGTTAGCGAGCGTGAAATAAATCACGGGGAGGTGGCCGAGCTTGTCTTTGTTATAGAAGATGTTTCCAGCAATGAACTTTATTCAATTAATATTAATATTCAGTATAACTGTACTGAACTATCGGATAAGAGCAAAATTTGATCTGAATAATGACATTAACTTTGCAAGATCAACACTTTTATTAACCTGAACTGAATCAACAATGAACTAAGCTGAGCTCAATGATGACGCTGTTGTCTTCTGTAGAGCTGCTTCTTACTTGATGAATTTTATAACACGAACAATTCGTTTCCTATTTATTAATGTGAAGCTACTTTGAAAAAAACTGTATTGTGTAAAACACTATATAAAAATGACTTGACATTTATTAATATTAATAAATCAGAATAAACAATTCTTTCCCTGATTTATATAGTTAATTAGTCTAACCATAATCTTTTTTCAAGCAATGTAGCACTTTTCAGATTTCTTATAAAATATGCATAATCATGAGTTCAAATGCAGCTCATCAGAATTTTTGATTATAACAATCTGTTGTATAATATCTACATTGATAAAGAAAAACATTTTTAAACAATTTTCACTCAGAAATTTCACAAATAGTTACAAATAATCAATATCAAAATAATACAATTAATTAAACATGACATTTTCAGATTTTTTGTAGTAAAACTGAATAGTATTTGATTCAAATTAAGTCTCATAAGTTTCATTCTTATTTAATATCCTATGTAACTCAGAACTGTCACATACATGGGTTGTGAACAGTGTTTCATGTTTAGGCATCAACTGTCCGGCTCTTTGTTTTGTCAAAGACACTCATGACCTTCCAGTAAAAGAAGGCCGTGATCGACATGTGGCATTCATGCACTAAATCAATGCACTTTGCATATGAATCTGCTCACGTTAACCCAGTCCTGAGCCCACATCACTGAAGCCTTTCACATGTTGTGTAGCGTGAAGTGTTTCTGACTGTATGTATGGAGCGTGTCTGCGCTGACCTGATCTCCGGCGGCTCCTGTTCATCCCGCACCTCCATTGCGAGGCCCTTATTGATCCCTCTTCACATTGTCAGGGGCCCCGCGGTCCTGATCGCAATCTGTTAATTAATGTATCCTCCAGCACGCCCGGCCGCTGTTCGCCCGCCTGATAAAATCCGAGATTTCAGAAACATTTCAACATGAGTAAATGGACATGAGAAGCAACCTGTCAAAGCAGATTTTTATAAAGTAGATCCCATTTGAAGAGAAGTCAGCACTCCGAGGCAGAGCTTCGTAAACTGCTGTGTCTCAAACAATATTTTATTTAATATCCTATGTAACTCAGAACTGTCACATACATGGGTTGTGAACAGTGTTTCATGTTTAGGCATCAACTGTCCGGCTCTTTGTTTTGTCAAAGACACTCATGACCTTCCAGTAAAAGAAGGCCGTGATCGACATGTGGCATTCATGCACTAAATCAATGCACTTTGCATATGAATCTGCTCACGTTAACCCAGTCCTGAGCCCACATCACTGAAGCCTTTCACATGTTGTGTAGCGTGAAGTGTTTCTGACTGTATGTATGGAGCGTGTCTGCGCTGACCTGATCTCCGGCAGCTCCTGTTCATCCCGCACCTCCATTGCGAGGCCCTTATTGATCCCTCTTCACATTGTCAGGGGCCCCGCGGTCCTGATCGCAATCTGTTAATTAATGTATCCTCCAGCACGCCCGGCCGCTGTTCGCCCGCCTGATAAAGGAAATTAAACACTCAGCTTCTCTTTTCTGCCGCTTTCTTGTTCTCCTCCGGCTCTTTCTGTCTCTCGGCCCACAAACACTCCCGAGCGTCAGCCGGCGGCAGATAGACATCGCCTGCTCATCTCTGCATTCATATGAAAGTTAGGGGTCAGGTGTGGCGGGTGAGTGGATCAATACTGTAATCTATCGGCTCTTTAATGGCGAGCGGGGCAGATAGAGCTGCTTTAGTCCACTTGTAAAGCAATCATTTTAATCATCGGAGCGATCGTGTGATGTGTAAACGGCTCGTGGAGCACACACAATTGACAGCTGTCAGAAGAATCATAATGGCCTTATCCTGTTTTATAAAACTGATAGTTCCGGTGCTTGATTCTGATTGGCTGAGCCACGTTCAAAGCTGTTGTAAATGACTCTACAAAGTAACATACACCTTTGTTTACGTTTGTGTGTTGCTCGGCAACCACTTTGTAGCAACCACAACAGATTCTGAGGAACTACATTGTTTGGTGGAAGAATACTGTTTTTATTAATATCATTACACTTTATTTGCTCTGTTTTATTTTGTGAAACCTTACTACGTATATGGAATAACCGTTTTATAAAAGCAATAATCCCCGTGAAGCCGTGGTTTACAGTGAATTTATAACAGCTAAGGGGGTTTTATAACTCCGCTTCACGTCGTACCTAACAACACCCCTTAGCTGCTATAAATTCACTGTAAACCACGGCTTCTTGGGGCTTATTGCTTTATTAATATGTGTTACTCTGGAATTTCTGTATTAAACACAGTATTGCTGGTGGGGAAATGAAGAATGTGCGATACAGTTTTGCATGTTCATAACACAGCCGCTTAATAGTGTGAAGTGATTTCGTTGTGCTTGTTTGTGTGTGTGTGAGATTGATTATACTTGGTAGTTAGGGGTGTGCGATATGACGATTTTTGAATGTCTCCACGATCTGCTTTTGAAGAAATATCGTTGTTTCGTGCTACAGCGCACATTCTATCAGCTGCAGTTCTGGCGCCTCCCTCCGTCTCAATATAATGTACAACGCCAATACTTATTTCAGTTAATGTTTATTTTGTTTCAAATAACAAAAATGTTTTTTTTTTAATGATTTAAATGTAGTTTCTGTTTAAGTTTTAGTTAACAAATAACCCTGCCCAGGAGAGGGGTTTCTGTACAGACACAAACCTTAAAGTATTGACATTGAAACAATATCAAACATTTGCATCATTATTGATCATAAATAAGAGATTAGTTCATTTAACACACCACAGCCTACAGAGGGGCATGTTGTCACACTATATGGGGTAAGTTGTCACAACCAAATCTGCCATTAAATAGCTAATTGTAGACCTTTTAAAAACATTTAAACAGTAAATCAATTATGAAGCATGATTTTAATATATGTAGTGCCATTTTAATGTGTAACTAACATTACAAAAAATATGAGGATTCTGAATTTTAATTTGCAGGACAGAATCCACAACAAATGTCCAGTTTAAGACACACTAAACCACTGTTAGAAAACAGCTTTGTGACTGAAAACCTCCTGCTTACTGAGTCCCTGTGTGACAACTAGCCCCGGGCTGCCCACTGTGTGTGTGTATACAGTATATTGAGTACAGAATGTCTTGTCTCTTGCGCAGGTTTCTCCAGCTTGTCTCTGGGAGACCAGATGAGTCTACTGCAGAGCGCATGGATGGAGATCCTGATCCTGAGCATCGTCTTCCGCTCGCTGCCCTACGAGGACGAGCTGGTGTATGCGGAGGACTACGTGATGGACGAGGAGCACTCGCGGCTCACGGGCCTGCTGGACCTCTACGTGTCCATCCTACAGCTCGTGCGCAAGTACAAGAAACTCAAGGTGGAGAAGGAGGAGTTCGTCACGCTGAAGGCCATCGCACTCGCCAACTCGGGTATCATCCGCTTTAGATTGATTCGTTTGTTTGTTTAATTGTTTTACATTTATACATACACTGCCATTCAATTGTTTGGAGTCAGCAAGGGCACATTAAATTAATCCACAGTGACAGTAAAAACATTTATAATGTTACAAAAGATTTATATTTCAAGTAAATGCTGTTCTTTTGAACTTTCTATTCATCTGTGAATCCTGAAAAATAAAATGCATCACGGTTTCCACAAAAATATTGTGCAGCACAACTGTTTTCAACATTGATAATAATCAGAAATGTTTCTTGAGCAGCAAATCAGCATATTAGAATGATTTCTGAAGATCATGTGACACTGAAGACTGGAGTTATGATGCTGAAAATACAGCTGCACATCACAGAAATAAATTACAGTTTAACATATATTCACATACAAAACAGCTGTAATAATTACTGTTTTTGTAATTAAATAAATTGTAATAATATTTCACAATATATGCAGTCTTGTTGAGCATAAGAGACTTTGAATATACTGTAGTAGTTTTTTTCTATAACAAATTAACCTAACCAACTGTCACATTTTGAGATAAATTGATAATTTTATTATTTTATTTTGATTGATGTTTTAGTCCCTCAAACACATTTCACTGTTAGGCAAGATCTGCACAGAAAATCAATTAAGCTACATTTCAAATAATTAAAATAAGTTATAAATAGTAACAAAATAAAAGTTCAAAGACAAACACAATGTCACCACATCACATTCAGCCTTTACATTTACAGTAACAGAGAAGAATCACAGTAAATCTCAGCTCTTTACACTGGCTGTTTTTATTAATATCATCTTTCACTTAAAATACATACAAGCCAAAACCAAAATAGCTACTGTAATGTTCTGTTTTTGTTTGTTATTCTACTCTGTTATGCCACATTGCATCAATTCCAAATCTGAAACACCTCAAAAAGGAGCCGTGTACAGTATACATCACTGCAAAAAAAGACTGATCTTATTCAGTATTTTTGTCTTGTTTCTAGTCAAAATATTAAAAAAGAATTCTTAAATCAAGATGCATTTACTAGATAAGCAAAAGGACATAGACATAGATATATAGTCTTGTTTCCTTGTTTTAACCAATTTTAAGCAATCGTTTCCCCCAGGAAACAAGACTAAATATATTATGTCATTTTTCTTATCTAGTAAATGTATCTTGATATAAGAATTTTGTGATATTTTGACTAGAAACAAGACAAAAATACTAAGTAAGGTAAGCCTCTTTTTGCAGTGCATGCTTTCTGACTGTATGCTTTATTTATTAGTAGTGTTGCTTTCGTCAACGAAAATTATGACTAAATATCGTCGTCAACGAACCTTTATCACGTGACGAAAACGAGACGCAACGTAAATGTTGGTCATGTGACGATGACTATAATTAAATGTATAATGCAATATTGTTGATGAATAAAAACGAGACTAAATGTGGTTTACAAAATAAAAACTATGCTAAAATGTCTCTTCATTTTCGTTGACCAAAACAAACTAAAATTAAAACAGGCCGCCAAAAACAACACTATTTATTAGTACAGTACACTCGAGCACACTCACACATACAGTGCATGCACATGAGTCCCGTGGACGGATGCAGCTCATGTAAAGATGAAGGGAGAGGAAACACTGAGCTTTTAATTGAACAGCTTCTGTGTGGCCGCGTTCCCCGTTTCTCTCTGTCTCTCTAACGGTAGCCACGGGGCCCAGCCGCTGCCACAGATAAATTTAGCATTTCATTAGGAACACCAGGGCTGTCAATAAAATGTGTAAAGTCGAATGGAATGAGTATCAGCGAGCGTTCGGGGGAGAAGACACAGGCCTGTATCGACAGCTGTCTTTTCAGAAGGCAGGCCCCGTCCTCTCCTGATCAATGCGGCCCGCGCTCCGCCTCGTTTTATTCTGCTGTCTCGTCCGCTGTCTCTCTTTGTCTGGCTGAGAAATGAAAACGCTGATGGTTGGCTTTGGCGCACACGGGATGACGGGAGAGAGAGACGCGCTCTGTCCGATGGCTCTCGCGGGACTGCCACTGTCTGACAGCTGTGAAAATTCATAGCCATTGATTTTGTAATTAGCAGTTTATCAATCGTATCGACAGGCTCTTTCTGATGGATTGCAAGGAAATTGTTTCTTCCCTTCTGTCTGTCTCTCAGCTTCACACTGCAAAGCGTGATTCTTCCTCAGTATTTTTGTCGTTTTCCAGTACAAATATCTAAACTATCTTATATTAAAATACATTCACTTGAGAAGCAAAATGACAAGATATTAAGTCTTATTAATTAAAAAAAATCTAAATTAAGTGAGTTTGTGATTAAAACAAGAAATAATATCTGCCAATAGAGTCAGAAAAATAATCTTCTCTTTTTGAATTAGTGTTTTTTTTTTCTGACTCTTTGTTTTAAGCATGAAATCACTTAAATTTGACATATTTTTAGTTAACAAGACTTTATATCTTAAGACATTGTACATCTCAAGTAAATGTATCTTGATTTAAAAAATGTTTAGATATTTGTACTGGAAAACAAGACAAAAATACTAAGACTAGAGGTCGACCGATTGATCGGCCGATTTTTTGCATTTTTTAATTAATCGGCTTCGGCCGATTGTGCTGCAAATTAGGCCGATTTATAGGCAGGCGCATCTGCGGGCAGCTAAGTGTTCTTGCGGAACGCCGGAGAATCTCTCTCTGGCTGCGTGAGACGGAGCAGCTCACACTCTGCAGCCGCTTCTTGTTCACACACAGCTTCAGCTAATGATGGCAGGGCAAAACAGACCGTTTCGAAAGCGTAATTACGTTTTACTCTACTAGAATTGATGCCGGAAAGTTATCATATTCGTAAGTGCAACAAGTCATTTGCATGTGAAAGTAGAAACAGGTGCAATTCAGACGAAACTTCTGGGCTGATTATAACGTGCACGTTAACTTTCCACGTGAAATGTGTGTGTGGGTCCGACAATAGCATCCACGATGTCATCGCTCGTGGCCATCGCTCGTCACTCTTAAGCAGTCATGAGCAGCAGGCTGTGTAATATGTGTGAACTGTTTTATTTTTGTTATCACTTGGCCATTTGACTTATAGCAGTGTCCAGTGTTTCCCATACATTGAGTTATTACTTCATTGAATGAACTGAGCACTGCACGTTTCAAAATTAAAATGCAGCGCGGGTGTTTTTATATGAATGTATCTTTGAAAAGAACCAACCGTCCTCAGAAAAGCTTCGATGTCATTTTCATTTCGTCTTTCCTGTAATGCCTTATAAAGTAGCGCTTATTTGATTACAGCCGTTATCGGGAAACCGCTATATCTCCTGCTCCAGCAGCGCCTCCTGCTGGCAGAGAATGAATTTGCATTTGCAAGTCTAGGAAACACTGGGGTCTGTCAGCAAACATAAACAAAAAGCATGCTTCAGAACTGTTTTGAGAAGGTGCTTAAGTTTTGAGCCATGTATTATTACTCAGAATTAGGCTACTACTACTATTACTATCTTGTACCCTGCAATAATCATTTACTCAAACTCACTTTTATGAGATGAAGGGGGAAAAATGAAAAAAAAATTCGGCCAAACATATCGGCCAAAAAAATCTGCATCATATATCGGCCACCGGCTGATTTCGGTCGACTCATATCGGTCGACCTCTAACTAAGACAATCTGGGGTTTTTTTCATTCTTTCTTTCTTTTTTGTGCACTGTTGTGTGCATTATTAATTATTGACATGATAAATAACATGACATACAGTATGTATTCTCTAAATAGTAGCATGGATCATATTTATAATATAAAACATTGTCAAATAAATACTTTTTATATCAGTATTTATATACACTATTTTTCAAAAGTTTGGGGTCAGTACATTTTTTCCAGTGCTTTGAAATAAGTCTCTTCTGCTCACCAAGGCTGCATTTATTTGATCAAAAAATACAGTAAAAATTGTTAACTATTATTAGGATTTAAAACAGCTGTTTTCTATGTGAATATCTGTTAAACTGTAATGTATTCCTGTGATGCGCAGCTGTATTTTCAGCATCATTACTCCAGTCTTCAGTGTCACATGATCTTCAGAAATCATTCTAATATGCTGATCTGCTGCTCGAGAAACATTTCTGATTATTATCAATGTTGAAAACAGTTGTGCTAATTCATTTTAATTATTAAAATAAACAAAAACTATAATTAATAATAATTTCAAAGAAATAGCACAATTACAGTTTTTTTTTTCAACTTCTTACACACAAAATCTTAACTTGTCACACAATTTCTGAAAGCTGACACTCAGACAGCAGAAGCACACCAAATCTGCAAAAACATACACTAATTCTCGGCCTTTGACTCAGTTTTCAATTTCATAAAACACTTTTTGCAAAACACAACACACACAAATCTAACAGGGAATTAATATTATGGCTGTTAATTAATAATAATATTAATAATGTGAATTAATATTAAGGTGATTGCAAATGTTTGCGTTTGAGATGTGTTTGTGATATTTTGAATGCAGTGCTTCGTTTTGCAAGAGACGAGTGAGGCATTTTGCATTTTGTGTGTGCAGTTCTCGGATTTGTGTGTAAAGTTTTGAAAAAAAGAGGCAAAGTTTTGAAAATGTGTGTATAAACAGCTGGGAAAAAAAAGCAAGTAACAGAATGAATGTAAAAAAGTGACATTTCGAAGCAGAAAGACTGAAATGGTATTTCTTGTAAAACGTACTTCAATCATTCTTTTTTTTTTTTTACTTTGAAAAATTACTTTTTACACTTGGTCAGGCAGTTTTATGGTTTGCTGTATATAGCATATTGGCCATGTGGGTGTAGTACTCAGCATGTGTGATGTTTGTTGTTCTGGTGACAGACTCCATGCACATAGAGGACGTGGAGTCGGTGCAGAAGCTCCAGGACGCCCTTCACGAAGCGCTGCAGGACTACGAGAGCTGTCAGCACACAGAAGACCCTCGGCGGGCGGGGAAGCTGCTCATGACGCTGCCGCTGCTCCGGCAGACGGCCACCAAGGCCATCCAGCACTTCTACAGCATCAAGATGCAGGGCAAGGTGCCCATGCACAAACTCTTCCTGGAGATGCTGGAGGCCAAGGTCTGATTGGCCGCTCGTCGCGTGACATCATCGGGGCCAGAGACTGAGGAGGACGGCCTGAGACGTTTTTAAAGACCTGGAAAAAAATAATAGCTTGGTTTAAAGCATAAATATAAATGGAAAAATAATTTAAAAATCTATAACAAATACTATGTACTTGTACAGTGATGCTTTTTGTTCTTGATCTGTGCTTATATATGATGGAAGAAACTAAGTCATTTCAAAGTGAGTAGTCATTTTTTCGTTCCTCTAACTCTCTGTACGTGTCGCCAACAACCTCAGTGCGGCCCTCGGACGATGCCAGGACACCTTGAGGACTTGTAAATATTCATGGCAGGATTTGGCCGAGGCTGGACGTGGAAGCTGCTGCCGGTTCTTCCCTAAATGTGAACTTGCTGACGTCCTTGAAAATACCTCTTCTTGAATCCTGGGAGGACGGCGTTTGTGACACGTTCGTCCGGGATCTCAGTCATCTTACTCTAGTAACTCAGCAATAAATCGAGCCGATGAGGAGCGCCCATCTCTTGTGTTGCACTACTGCTTTTTTAAACTACTTGTTATTGTTGTCGTCGGTGTTTCGGCCTAAATGTAGTCAATGGGTGGAGGGATCGAAGGATTTACGATGCGTGGCAGACGTCCAGGATGCTCCATGTTCAAACGCTCAGATGCCCGTATGTCAAACGGCCTATTTTGGGCTTGTTAAGCCACCGGCTGAGGAAACGAGGTGCCCGTCATCATCTGCTTGGACCCTGCCAGGACTTATATGTATCTGAATGAAGGTGGGCAGCAGGTGCGGGTCTTTATCACCAGCTTTATTTTTAGGTCTTGGACGTCGACAGCAGATTGAACAGGAGAGGTGTTTGACCTCATGTTGACACAATAGCATCACTTCGAACTCGCCGGCCCTATAAACAGCTTATTACCCTTAGATCCACTTTACAGCAGACCGCCATACGGCCATTAGTCCCAGTTATCCATTAGGAATATCCCGAGAAGCATTAGCTGTGAAAACAGCAGCGGAGTCACTGAGTGGACCGAGACATCGGCGGACGCTACTGATGTCATTTACTTGACGTGAACTGTGGCGCTGTCTGGATTCGATTCTGAAGGACCTGAGGGTTTATTGCGTCCTGGGGTGCGTTTCCCAAAAGCAGCTATGCTCGTTACCGACATAGTTTAGTGATTCAGTAGCTATGTTTCCATCCAAAGTTACAAATTAAACTGGAATATCGCTTAAAACATTGGTGAAGAAAGCATCCAGTGAGTTCAAGAGAACAAAATCGTCACTTCTTGATTAACTTGCACTAAATATCACCAAGAAAAATTACATTTGCTGCAGTAGAAGGCACTGTATATAATAATTTTTGTATACAATAAATTACAAGCTTTAGAGCGTGCAGACGAAATGTGTTAATTATAACGAAGCACTTTGACGAGACTTTGCGCAAGCATTTTAGAATGACAAAACTAGCATTTCAGATGCTGTGCAACGAGATCGGTTCATAGGTTGGTACAGTTATGCTGTCCCATCACAAAGTCACGTCTTTTTTGATGCGCATTAAGGAATTTATTCGGTAAAAGTGTTTCTATCGTAGCTTATGCGCATGTTTTCTTACCGGATAAGAAATTTATCCTACTTGGATGAGTGCATACATTTTTTTTTTATGTGCATTTTTTAAATTTATGCGCGTCTTAGCATTTTCATCCAGCGTTTTTTTATGCGATATCCCAAAATGTGCATAAAAATAGGTGGATGGAAACATAGCTAGTGTTTCTTAAAACCAAACGTTTGCAAACAGCTTCGCAAGCTTGTGTGGCTGAAAGCACAACTTTTGACCTGTGGTTAGACATGGACTTCTATAGATCATGCTCAGTTTGCACATTAAGCAAGAAAACATGCAGTGCATCTATAGCCTTCATTGCATTGAAATCAATCGAGTGCTGCAGTTGTGACGTCAAAGGCTCCAGGTTTTTATTATGGGGTTTTTCAATTCATGATACTTGGACGTTTTGTTCTCCAATGTTAACTGCACACACTCGTGCCTCCAAACGCTCTTATGTAGTTACTTATTACAAACATAACTGCCTCAGGATTCATGTTTTCATTCTGGGTGTGTAATTTACATTGTAGAGCAAAACGTCCGAATGTAACGTCAATTTAAATTTACCACAGACCTTTTACTCATGTTGAAAAATACCATGATAAAAACCCATGGGAAAATCTGTGGCGAATTACTCTTCCGGGTTTTGGCATCACGGCTGCAGCACTCTATATACATTTCGATCTATATATTTTGGTATGACAACAATCAGCTGCATTTTTGAATAGCGTGCATGTAAGTAAAAGTTTAAGCAAACCCCAGAGTATGACGTAAGAGGAACCCACGATAAATCAAACATCAAATGGGAATCACAAATAGTTATAATAATCAATTTAAACCAATTACGCGCTGCATAATAATTTGATTTTAAAAGCGAATGGCTTTCTGTTTTTCGTGTAAATTAACTATAATGATCTGACATCAAAAGTGTGGTCACATTAACTAAATTATCAAAAAAGGTCCATTGTCAATAGTATAGAGATGTATGAAGCACTTTCAAACCAAGCAGCTTTCTGTTGCACATGTGAATTTGCGTGAGAAAAAGCTGCGTGATCGTGCAAAACTCTCAATAACGCAGATTCCTATTGGACTGACTGGATTTCGCCGAACAACAGTAAATGTGACCAATCTTGAATTGATCGATTAGCAGTCGTTATTACTCCTCCACCTGAGTGTGACATCATTAACGACAGGCCTATTTTGTTATCAAAAACAGGTGCGAGCATGTTACTACAATTTCGGGAAACAGTGATTAGTTAGTTGCATTGTTACCAGGGTGGTTAATCAGCAAGATTTGTCATCATATGGGAAACGAACCCCAGGTCCAATCTCTCTCTGCATTGCTGATGTCTCTCATTGGCTTCCTAATGGCCAGACACTTCCCAGAAAACCTGAACCCGCCACAATCTCGAGCCGACCAGACGAGATAGCCAGAGAGAAGATAATGCAGGGATTCATTTTAAATGCAGCGCAACTGTGTGGATTCACATTAGGGATCAATTCTGACCGAAATCATGCCAAAGCAGAGCACATCTGAACGACATGAACGCAGACGCTTCAAGCTACAGCACGCAAATGTGAATTCACACGTCACTGAGTTCTGGAATACGTCAGAACGCAATTCATAACATAGTACCGCAATGCTTTATGAACATCTGCTAGTCCTGCACTGAGATGGACGCACGGTAATGAACATATATGCAACATTCATGTAGCTACCTCATCATTCATCCACGTCTGGACATTCTGTAAATACTGCCCTTTATTTAGCCTGTTTCTGTCATGTGGACAGTAACACAACATCTGGTTAACGTCTCACATACCACACTAACCACCAAAGCACACTACACTCTAACCACGTCCTGTTCGGTGCACTGATTTAGGTGCTTTCTTTCTACTTTTTTGACAACGGGACACTCGGTCACATTCATCATCTAGCGTACCCAAAAACACATTAATGTGTGAGTGGCGTGAATGTTGATTTGTGCCTCTCCGTTCACTGTTTAGGAAGGAAAAGATGCATATCTGTAAATGCTGTCAGTTATTTATTTGCTTCTACCGCAGCATGTCAGGGTCAGGATTGGTCCCTCACTGTTCAAAATGACGAAGGCTTTTGTGTTTCTCCTCAAGATATTCATTGTGTATATTATATCACTTTGGCCACGCTGTACTGTACAATAATATTGTTCATTTAACAAACACCTGTGTCACTTTCTTTTTTATGTAAAAAATTAAAAAGGAACAAAGACGTACTCTCAAAGCACTTTTAGATTTCTGTTAATTTCCTCTCACAAACATACTGCCAGTCAATAGCTTGTGAATATATAACAAATATCAATATATAACAAGTCATATAATGTGTGTGTGCACAATATATTAGAAGTGTTTTTATCCAAAGCAATTTACATTGCATTCAAAGTACACATTTTATGAGGTCCTGGGAATCAAACTTATGACTAACTTGCTCTACTGTTTGAATGAAATTGATCTTTTATTTACACTGATAATGACACATAAATCTGCACATGAGTGTATTTAGAGCTGAAGCCCTGCGCTGGACTCGTGTGCATCACTGTGCTGTAATTGGTCAGCGGAGCCGGATGATGATGACCTTTATCCGCTCTGCTGAAGTCTCTCAGACGGAGTGTGGCTCAGTAATGTAGTAACATGTAAGTGCTGTAGGACGTCCTCAGAGATGCAGGACGACCCGCAGAGCCCCAGAGACAGCAGAGCAAACTGTGTGGTGCTTTATGACATATTCCATAGCCTCATTAAAGGCAATATAAAAGCCATCAGTTCCCCAAAAAAGATAAATAAATACATAAATTTAAAAAAACTGCAAAACAGACTGTTTACCCAATTCCTGTGCTGTGTATTTTTATGATCGGACTATCAAGATTTTTTCAGAACATGCTAACATTAAACTCTATTTAAATCAGTTGTGAATCGAGTCATATATGTGTTCCTCTGCTATAGCTGTATGACACCGAGATGCTGCCTATATACTGTATGTAGAAGTGCAGTTAGGATATTGAAACAAAGCTTCAGTGTAAGCATCACTATTAACTACAGCATTGATTTCTATTGTTGGAAATGTAATGTCATCAGGATGAATATTCTGGCTGTTGGCTGTAATCAAAGCTGGTTTTCCCAGCATGCCGTGTTGCGTCACATTGACGGTGTGTTCGGTGGACAGATTTGCATTCATCAAAGCGTGAATCCCTATCAGTACGTTCAAGGCCTCGTATCCATCCTAACACTTCTCCATTACTCTCAGCGCTGCTGGCCGAGGGAAGAACTGAACTGCAGTGTACACTTCGCATAAAGGAAGAGCTAAAATTACACTCGGGACTGAAGCGGAGCGTGCAGAAATCCCACGGTAGCCGCAGCTTCAGAAATCAAATAAAAGGCTTCGTCTTTCAACAGGCTCTCGTCTCGGAGCTTCTCCTGGTCCAGCGCGTTTCTCACTGCTCTCCGGCTCTGCTTCTTCTAAAATATAAAACGCAGGTGTTTAACACTTTACAGCTGAATTCTTATTTTAAAATGAGATATCTGACTTGAGGAACAGATCAGAAAACTTCATCTGGTGGTGATTCTCAACCAACAGGTTGTTACAGTATTACAGCATTGAATTTTATTTATAATTTACAAGAGTCCACATAACAGTTTTCTATATTCATGATACTTTGTATATTAAAAAAAAAAAGAAAAAAAAGGTTTTTGAGGACTATAAGATATAAACTGTTATAAAATGTTGCTAACTGTACCTCAAAGGTCTTGACCTTTACTGCACAACATTGAAAATCACAATATATTATTACTTGACTTTTTACTATTATCTCTTTAATTAGTTGTCACCATTTAGTACCTAATGAGTTCGAGCTTAGGTGGAACTGGCAACCATGTTACTATTACCCATCTCACATTTATTTGTATTCTTAGTTTTGATGTCTGTTTAATGTTTATTGTTTGTTTATTGTTTCAGCCCAGCTAACAAATAAAAATATGTTTTAACAACATTTTGCCAACATTCCCATTAACTTGATACAGTTTTTTAAATGTATCATAAATGTTTTTTCTTGGTCTTGTGAACATTACATGAACATTCCATTTTGTCATTTTGAAAACATGGGAATGCTACTTTTGAATGTTCTGAAACAAGTAACATTTAAACATGTTAGAAGAATGTCCAACTATGATGTTTTAGAGAGAGAAAAAATCCATGAACAATACATCAACTTTTTTGTGATAACATTTTCAGAGCATAATTAAAGACAACTTTGAGCAAACAGTCTAATTATATAATGAAAGAACATTCCTTCAAAACTTTGAGAGAACCTTGTCAGAACGTTTACTATTAGATGTGACGTTTTAAATTGTTACCAAATTTTGTCTCAAAATTTAGGCCACATTTTGGTAACAGGGCTGGGAAAAAAATAGCAAACCTCATTTTAGATAAATACTAAATAAAGACTAAAATGACCAATATGTTTCGTTTGACACTGAAGGATCAGCAGCTCATTTCACTGACCATCTATTTTGTGACCCATTTATGGTAATTAGCAACTAAACTAACTGGCACTGGGTGATGGGAGTGAGCGCAGACGGACGGGGATGCAGTGTTTTAGTGAAGGTGCATGTGTTGCTCTGGGATGCGATGGACTCGACCTTTTCTGCATGTCAAGCAAAGGTTAGAAATCTCCACTGGCCTTAAAGAAAAGCTCTTGTTTGCCATTACAGTGAAGATCTTTCTCCAGCTGCACACAGACGCTCTCGAGGGAACCTACAGATGACCCACAAACCCTCGCTTTCTGTCCGTCTCTGTCTCACTCTCTCTACTTCTTAACTGATCATTTCTTGACATTTCTGCCCAATACTTGCCTCTCTTTGCTTAAGGCCTCAAAGTAGAAAATATTTGAATGATCTGTCAGCGAAACTCTTACAGTAAATGAGTAGATTTTTGGCATTCATTTTCTTATTTTCAAACTGCGTTCATCAGGGTTATTATGGTTAACACACTAAAACCATAAACAAACCTGCATTACATAAAAAAAATTTAAAAAAAAGGCAACATTTCTCATTTTCATTAAACTT